GCACCACTGTATCTCATTTTCAACTTCCTGCTCTGGAAGACCATGAAACCATACATTTTCAAAATCTCCAAACTTGTCTTGTATGCTTGTTGTCATACCCTGAAGATCCATCAGTGCTCCTTCTTCTGCAGTGCTCTTTCTATGCCTCATCTCTCTTTTTTTCCTATGTTAACAAGCCTTTCTGATAGCATTGTTAGCTTGTTGTCTATTGGGGCCAAAGCTTCAGCCAGAGCACTTTGCAGCTCTGCACTTACGTAATTGTTGTAATAATTCTTTTATCGTTGTCTCAACCCTGGCCTCTGCTTTACTCTCACCTTCTTTAGTATTGTGATTTGCAGCAGGAACCATTTTGTCTGTCTCTTCACAGCTAGGTCGCTTCTAAACAAGGATGATGATTTTTAAACAAACAAACAAACAAACCCAGCAACTCCTCTATTAACTGCTCTGTCTGCTACTCCTTTAATTCTTGTTTTTAGTGCTAAAAACTCCCTTTTTGGGGAGGATTATTTTGATTTTCAGTGGTTTCAAATGCTCATTTTAGTGCAAAGGTAAAGGTAAAGGTTCCCCTTGACAAATTTTGTCCAGTCGTGTTCGACTCTAGGGGGCGGTGCTCATGCCCGTTTCCAAGCCATAGAGCCAGCGTTTTGTCCAAAGACAATCTTCCGTGGTCACATGGCCAGTGCAACTTAGACACGGAACGCTGTTACCTTCCCACCGAGGTGGTCCCTATTTATCTACTCGCATTTGCATGCTTTTGAACCGCTAGGTTGGCGGGAGCTGGGACAAGCAACGGGCGCTCACTGGTTCCCAAAGCGCAGTGGTTCCCAAACTTGGGTCCCGAATGTTATTGGATGAAAACTCCCAGATTCCTTCAGTACTAGCTATGCTGGACAGGATTTCTGGGAGTTGTAGTCCAAAAACACCAGAGGACCCAAGGTTGGGAACCAATGTACTGTATTAGTTGGTAATCAGAAGAACTCTCTAGTTATGCTGCCATTTTAGATAGCAGTAAGCCACACCCCCTCCACATATTATGTTTTAATATATCTGAATACTGGCAATCTTTCAGAAAAGCAAAGAGGTAGTTATTGAGGAGCTTTGTAGAATACATGAATGCTGTCTAGGACATTATCCCCAATATTTTATTTCTATTATTGCTATTATTGAAAATTTAGATGGCTCTCATGATTGATTAGAGAATCAGGAAAGCAGATAAAATGGATGCAGCAGGCATGGCAAACTTCAGTGACAAAACTCTAAGTGACTACTTAATCTGGTCTCAAACGCATGACAGCACACTGCCTCAATTCATTTTGTATTCACTCTATCATCCTTCAGGCTGCTCAGAACATTTGCTATGCAACTCCATGCAGGAGGCCACACGTTCATTCCGGGCACTGAGAATCCAAGCCTGAAAAGACAAATGACAATCTAAATGTGTAATGCAGACAGCTTCCAAATTGCGAGTGAGATTGCTTGAATTTTTGTCCTGCTTTTTATCTCTCAGAAAGTGTATGTTTACTCTTGTTTTTCAGTATCATACACACCCACACCCATGAACAGTGGATTAGTTGGCTGTCTGGTATACATGCAGGGAATTTTTAATATATGGAATAGTCTTCATGAAACCACCCTGTTTTCCCAAAAATAAGACCTAACCTGAAAATAAGTCCTAGTATAATTTTTCAGGATGCTTAGAATATAAACTCTACCCCAAAAATAAGCCCGTCGAGTGAAACCCCACCCTCCACCATTGTGCAGCAACCAGAATAAGATGACATGACTGTTTGAATAAATCTAGATAGTTGTTCATGAAAAAATAAACATCCCCTGAAAATAAGCCCTAATGCATTTTTGGAGCAAAAATTAATAGAAGAGTGTGTCTTATTTTTGGGGAAACATTGTATGGAGGAATTTGCTCTTTATATATTAAAATTTACTACTAATCTATCTCACTTCCCATTTTTGTTTGTTATAATTATAATAGTAATTATTCTCTTGGAAATTTCCAGTTTACTCACCATGGCTTACCAATGCATGCTATATACAAATATACTTTTGAGGTGTCTGTGGCTGTTCAGGATCTCAAGAAGAGTATTTCGGAGTCTTTTTATTGGAGATCTGCTGTCCTAGAAACCAAATTTGAATGGCTTGGCCATTACTCAAGTCAAGATGGTCACCTCAAGTAGTGAAGTGCTGGAGGCAGCGGTAATGCTGCCTCCAGCTTTCTTTCTTTCTTTCTTTCTTTCTTTCTTTCTTTCTTTCTTTCTTTCTTTCTTTCTTTCTTTCTTTCTTTCTTCTTTCTTTCTTTCTTTCGCCTTGAAAAGGACCCACGGTGGCTGTCACTGTCAGCTGCTTTGCATGCCTCAGTCAAGCACCATCCCCTAGTCCTGTAGCATTTACTGGGAAGGGGGAGGTGAAGGAAGAGGGCGTCACTGCCAGCTGCTTTGCATGCCTCAGTCAAGCAGCATCCCCTAGTCCTGTAGCATTCACTGGGAAGGGGGAGGTGAAGGAAGAGGGCAATGGTGGCCCAGTAAACACATGCCAGCTGGGCAGTGCACCCTGACCTTGCAGCACTCAGTGGAGAAGGAAAAGGGTGACAGGAGTGCTGTCATTTAAATAAACATTTCCATTAATGTTACCTGCAAGTGGCCTAGCGTCATTTTTGGTTATGCCCTCTTCCCCTCTGGGGTAACAAGAATCTCGTATCAATACAGGTGGTAGTGGTATGCAAGGGGACTGAAAGGGTTTTGATTGGCAGTGTTAGGTTGGATTTGTGCCAGGAGAGTCTGTTGAAACAGTTAGGAGGAGAAGTAAAACGTGTGTAACTGGTAGTGTGTGCTGAGTGGCTGGTGTACTGCCTGGCTATAAGGATGATGTTGTAACTATAAGAAGGGTGTGTGTGAGAGAGCCAGTTTAATCTGAGTTTGTTAGAAGCAGTCATGTATTAGTCTGCAGAAGCAGTTATTAAGTCAGTGTCTAAGAGGAAAAAGCTTTGAGGTAGTTCAAAGAGCTGAGCTGATAGGGGAAAAATGAGGTTCCTCTGTAAAGAAGCTGTAAAGCTTAATTGTTCTCTTTGGAACTTGTGTAAAAACAACATCCATACAGACATGCAGTATATAAAGAACGATATGTGCTTAAACTATAAAGAAAGAAAATGTTATTTCAGCTATCTGTTGAGAAACCATAAGAGAGTGCAATTTTAAAACGTTTATCTATGTGTGAGTTTTAAATAAACTTCCTTCAGCTTTCAAACACTGGTTATTTATGAAAAGAGCAGTCACAAGATATTATATGACACATATCGCTGGCCTACATTGGAACACATTGTCAAGACTGTCTCTCCAAAATAACATAGGCTGTGTGTATTTCACAAAAAGTCTTCTTGCCTTTTTTAAAATGGCAGTGCAAATACAGTTTTTAGCTGTGGCAGTATGAAAACAGCTGTGGAAAGGGAATACTGGTTGTTTGCCAGTATTCCCTTTGACTTTATGGCTTAAATTCTATTGCATAACTGTACACAATGCGACGAGGGTGATGCCATCAGCCATGGCTCAACCGCAGCTGTTTAAGAGCAATAAAAAGCTTCCTACCCCCTCACGTTTGGGGGATTCCAAGTGATCAACAAAACAAAGGGAACTGCTACATCCGCAGAAGTCCAGATTATAAATGCGAGATGAGGTCTCAGGATGTAGAAAGTAGAAACAAGCTCTTTATTCTGTATTTCTTTAAATGAGTCGTTAAAAAACTCTGGCTGAATATGTTTCGGCGAAGCCTTCTTCAGGAGTGAGCATTTTGAGCTTCTCTATACCTTTCTTTGGTCTATATCAGCTCCAAAACTAATTGAAAGTGTTCGAAAGTGCTCCTGGGTCAACTTTCAGGAGCTACAAAAAAAGAGGGAGAACAATTTAAAACAAATAGAAAATCGGTCCTTCCCCTATTCTGCAGCTCCTGATGGCTGCCCTAGGATGAAGGGGATCTCAAGAGATTGACTCTAGGAAGCTTGTAATTGCTCCAGAACAGCCACGGCAATGGCATGGCTGATGTCGTCCTTGCTGTGTGTCATAGCTCCACCAACAGATGTTTAGCTGATGTCTCTTGATTTAAGAAAAAATCTGAGAGCATATTGTCGTTAAATGAGTATTTATCTATAGTAGTTACCTTTTACAAGTTTTTCAGATAGAAAGCTACGTACAGTATGTTAAACCCCCAGTGTCTGGCATTGAGTGTTTCTGAAGTGTTTAGGAGCTAGAATATTTATTATTTCAGAGAGAGAAAGATAAATTCTTACAGCATACCTCATGTGCTCTTCTACTCCAAAGTCCTGCTGAGTTCTGAGTAGCATATAAGACCTATGTTAGAATTATGTTAGAATTATGTACTGCCAAGTTACAGAAGAAACTTGTATGCCACAGCTGGATTTCCCCACTAGCCTACCACTCTGAAACCTACTCTGGAGAGTGCAGAGCAGATTTTGAAGATGCCAATTTGGGCTGTAGGAGAGAGGGGTAATCTACTTTGTCATTTTCAGAAGCTGCTTCAATGGTAGAAAACAGAAAATCGGATAATGGCCACATTTGGAGTACACCCAGTGGAACTCATAAGGACTGACCTCTATACCATCTGTATAGGGTTATACTTGTATTAATTTGTTGTCTTCTGAAGGAGTAATAGAATGTTTAAAAATTACCAAATTGAAAATATAATGACTGCATCGTTTTTATCACTACTTGTGGATATGACTCTTGCTCAAGAATTTTATCCAAATATGGTGTGAAATCTCTGAAAGAGATGATGATGGTGATGTAATATTTTTAGCTCAAGATAGACTGTGCTATCCATTGCCAAGTAGTTTTCCCCTCTTTTTTTAAGGTTGGAAAAAGAAAATAATAATTCTGTCTTCTTAGAGATTATTCGTATCCTCTGCAATTCATTAAAATGTTTAAATAAAAAAACATTCTAATACAAATTGCCCCTTTTCTTTTCTTTTGCAGCTCTTGTAAATGTGAAACTTTGGGCTATTGATCGGCAATGTTTCCAAACAATAATGATGAGGACTGGCCTTATCAAGCATACAGAGTATATGGAATTTTTAAAAAGGTATGGCACTTTTTATTTTAAATTATATCTATGCTTTCTGCTCATACTTTCTGCAGTTTTTGCATGAGTTTTTGTTTGATTGTTCTTGTTTGAGTGAATATAGTAGATATAATGAGCAGTTGTTTTCACCCAGCACTTTTTATTTTCCATTTCAACTACATGCATGTCATAAGACCTGGAAGGAAAACAAAAGCTGTCTCAGCCTCATTATTGTGTGCTTTTTTCTCATTGAAATTATTTATCTGCATAGTTGTTTGTAGAGCAAAGATAATAAACAGATAAAGAACATTTTTCAGATGAGCCAGAGACCTTTCATTTAGGAAAGCACTATTAGAGAAATAATAAAGAAAAAAATTTAAGTAGTTTTAAGGCCAGTTTGGGAGCTTTAAACACTTGTTTATGTATCTTCAATACACAAGCACATTACAAAGCGGAAGTGAAATAAAAACTTTTGCTGCAGGCATATACAAAATATGGGTCAAATGAGTCAGAGAAGAAGAATAGTGTGCCAGTATGTCTTTTTATCCCTTAAACTTGAATGTAAGCTCTCCAAATATATTCAAGTATTTCTGCTTTAAAAAAATAATATCAAGTACCCAACAAAATACGAAAATAACATAATTATAGAACAGTCTAGTTGAGCAAATGTACTCAAATATGAATTACATTTTAATTAAAAATCATCAAAATATGTGGTACATTTACAGAGAAAAAAGGATACCACGCAAATCTACCGGGCAGCTGTGTGTAGCCAACAAGCCACTCATGTTGCCTGGGTAACAGTGTTCCCATTAGCCTTCAGTTCTAAGCCTAGTAAAGCTATTTCCTTCCCAATTTGTTCCTGTATGTTAGTCTTACAGAGCCATAAAAAGAGGAATAATCTAGTGTAGAAACGGAAGTACTGTGTAAATATACTAAATCTATCTCAAAGTTTGGAATTATTCAACAGTCATTGTCAGGAAGAACAATTATACATAATCCTATGCAGCTTTATGTGTGCCTATGCTCACTGGAGTCAAATTGGACATGACACGTTTTCTATAGTGTCTGTTAGTTATGCCGTGCTTTCCCAAAAATAAGACAGGGTCTTATATTAAATTTTGCTCCAAAAATGCAGTAGGCCTTATTTTCAGGGGATGTTTTAATTTTTTTCATGTACAACAATCTACATTTATTCAAATACAGTCATGTCATCTTCCTCCAGTTGCTGCACAATGCTGCACAATATTGGAGGACGGGGTTTCACATGACTAGGGCTTATTTTTGGGACAGGGCTTGGATTACAAGCATTCCGAAAAATCATACTGGGGCTTATTTTCAGATTAGGTCTTACTTTCGAGGAAACAGGGTAGTAATGTGCTAGATCAGGCTTGTCCAACCCGCGGCCCGAGGGCCGCATGCAGCCCAGGTCAGCTCGTAAAGCAGCCCAGTGCAATTTTTTATTTTCAAAGAAATTCCAAAGTTTCAAGTTACACTGCCGGCGCTTGTGGCCAGAATGTGGCCGGGGCATGTCACAACAGTAAAGGGGGAGAGAGGGAAGGAAGGAGTGGGAGGGGAGGGGACAGGAGGGCTGCATGACTGCATTGCACCATCCCCATCAATAGGTGGACCTCCCAGCCCCATAAAGCTGCCGGAGTCGAAGCTAGCAGCCTCTGCCCTCTCAGATCGCAGCTGCTGGTAAGTGCGCTTGGAGCGGGGCTGTGGAGGACAGCTAGGGCTGCCCCCCTCATGCGGCCCAAACCAAATGTATGTGCAGCCCAAACCAATTTTTCATCTTCTAATGTGGCCCAGGGAAGGTGAAAGGTTGGACACCCCTGTGCTAGATTATTAAAAAGTAATTCCCATTGAACAAAGTAGGTGTATTTTTATAAGAATATATTTTTAGAATAGGGTTTGATCTCTTCTTTTTCTTGTTGGGTTTTCAGTGGGACTTATCAAAGTGATCTGAGTGAATTCTGTAAAGGTGTGTTAATCCTTTCAGCCACCCTCTGAGGACAGAAGGTGTCCGGCATAAGCTATGCCTGGTGTACTCCTGAACTATCTAGATGTGTATATCCATTTGTACATGGCGAGCACATACAATCACGAGGCTTAGCTTCCTCCAGTCAGGAGACTTATGGAACTTAATGAAACATATCATTCCATAGATGTGCCTGAAAGGAAGGTGAAAAATGTCACTATGGCTATTGGAAAGGAGTGAACCATATGCTTGAAGATTTCTTGAGCAGTTGATTCCTTGTATTGATTTTTCCACCAGTGCTATACACTCCATTTCTTTAGTAACATTTTTTCCACTTTTCCTGCTGTGAACTGTTTGTAGATGTGCTTCCAAGCACCATTGGCAGAACCAGCTGCTTATGCTTTAAATGATTTATTGTCGTCCCCCCCAAAAAATAGATAAAAGATGAAGGGAAGGGAAGAGGTGGATGGGTTGTTCAGTTATCTTTTCCATCCTCTTAAAGGCCTTTACCCAGAATTGGGAAGTCAATTAACAACTCCACCAAAAAATGTAAGAGTTAGGCATGCTACCAATTCTCCAGTACATTTTAATTGATGTGATTAATTTTAGGAGAGGTTAGATACCAACAATAAAGCAATTTAGAATTATGCTGTCTAATGTCTGAAGAGGTGGAAACCTGGCAGGCCCATGCTTTTAGGAACACCAAATATTATCAAAGTCAAAATCTTTTTCCCAATCTAATTTTTCAACTAAGTGCTTTTATATATGGCATCAACCAATAAAGTGTAAAACTTGGAGATTAGTGCTTTGATCTCTTCTTTAGTTTGCATAATAAGATTTTCAAAAGGTGATAGAGGCCCTGCTATTTGGGCTTTAACAAGAAAAACTGAATAACCTAATCTATTTGCATCCAAGAGACTTTAATTGATTCTACTTCTGTCTGGATTTGTGGTCTGATTTAGAGTTAAACCCTACAAATAGTTTTTTAAGGAACTAAATGAAGGCCCTTGGATTCTCAGCCCTTAAACTCAGAAAATGTACAGTATTCTTTTCTGCAAACAAGGGATGACCAAAAAAGGGAATTAAAGATAATGGGAAAAGTATACGTTTTCTCTCACACATGGACCAAATTTTTAACGCATTGCTCAAAACAGAATTGCTGATACTTTTCATCTTTGAAAAGGGAAGTCTTCTCACCTCATTAATGTGGTAATTTCCACATTCATTGGGGATGTGAATCACGGATTACCCAGACCATTTTTCTTGTCTGCTTTGCTAAAGTTTTAAATTTGATATTCCTATACTACCTCTGTTTGTGTGTTTATAATAAATTGAAAATGGAATTCTGTTCCTTCTAACCTTATTAACAAATTGAGAGATTATTTTATGCCGTACCTGAATACAAATTTAGAGAACAGCAATGAGAATAGTTTGAAAAAAGTCTCTGCTGTTGACCACTTCTTGACAACAAACCATCTTATTCTTCCCAGCAGCAATTTCTTGTTCTCAGAGTGAGATCACAGATCAGTCTTCCCTTATCACAACAGAACAATCTTAACAGTAGGAAATTTGAGGTCAGCATCTGTAACTTTACTGAGAAGTCTTTATAATCTAATTTGTACCATTTGAGATGCAATTTCATCCTATGTTCATTTCTCTTTGTCTTGTGGTTCTGCCTAGAAGACCAATTATTATTCCCCCCCACCCTCATAGCTGCCATTATTCATGCATGCAGAAACAACAGATACTGTCTCATTACGAGGCTTATTATTCTCATTATGTTGACACTTACAATCCATGTTATTGTATATTTTCAAGGCATGACTTGGATCCAGCCCTTCTATTCAGTATCATAATAGATACTGATCTCAGTCAATGTCTAGTGTAACTTAATTGATGGCAAGATTTATGTAGTTTTTGTCCAGTCTTCATTTGGTACAATTTCCTTCTTTTATCCATTTTATGAATCACTGTCATTTGTCCACTAATGACATAACCAATCCCTCTTCTCCATTCTGTGCTACCCACACCACACTCAGGAGGACTATTAGTTCCATGTTCTTAATTCTTATATTTCAAATCACCCTATTTCTCGCCAGTAATACATTGACCCATCTCTTGGCGTACACTCCTTCCCTTTCTCAAACACATGTACCAAAAACAAACTCCATATTTTAATGGTTGTTGTAGGTTTTTCAGGCTGTTTGGCCGTGTTCTGGAACATGGCCAAACAACCCGAAAAACCTACAACAGCCATCAGATTCCGGCTGTGAAAGCCTTCGAGAATAAACTCCATATTTGTTTAAAATCATTACACTCATCATTCCTCTTCTAATTTTAATTTCACAAGTTAGCTGATCATTAATTGCCATATTCCAAATTTCTGTGTACCACTCCTCCACAGTAATTTGATTATTAGCCTTCCAGTTTTTTGTGAATATTAACCTTGCCATCATCACCATTATAATAATTCCTTTTCTTCCCCCTTCAATTGCTTATTATAAACGAAATTAAACAAAGCAGTCATTGGGGACATTTGTACCTCCACACCAATTATTTCTCTTATCGCCTTGAAAATCATTGTTCATTCCTTCTTCCTTATTTCACAAACCCACCACTATGTATATATGCCCCCTTTTCTTTAATGTATCTCCAACATAATGAAAGTATATCTTTATTTATTATATCTAACTTTACCAGTGTTATATACAATCTCCGGGTTAGTTTGTAACAATTTTCTTTCACCCGTACATACATATTTTGCATTATTATTTTAGCCCACATTTTACTCTAATTTTCTGTTTTAATTTCCTCATTCAAATCTTCTTGACAGAGAGCTTTTAACACACTTTTTAAAATATTCTGCCTGTATTAACGTTTTATATATTATGCTTATTGTTCCATTTCTATTTTCCCTTGTCTCTGTTTTTTCTTTTTTCCTCTCATCTTCTCACATTTTGTTATTTTTCTTCCCTCTCATTCTTTTATTTTTCATTCTTTCATCCGTTTTTCTAATTGAAGTATGTTTAGCTATTAAATC